GAGTAATTTCAATTTTTGTCAAGATGTGTAAATGCGCACTGTTAGACAGTTCATTGCACAAGAGTGCGCATTTGAACGCTTATGAGTACGCATTACATTTTATGAAAAAATATTTGTTTCTAAGGTGAAAATAAATGGGAATAAGTGACTACAGACTACACATAAAACGGGAGACTTATTTCTTCGTACTCTAGGGGTCTTGAAAAGACGAGAAAACGTAAAAATAGAGAGTCGGTCGACGGACTCGATTACAACACGCTCAGGAAGTAAAAATAAAAAAAAAAATCACCATAACCACCACCCCACAACTCGAGAAGCAGTACAAAGTAGTAGAGTTAAATAATTCATTACCGTATGATATGTATCTCCAAGACTATTAGACTACGTATTGCAAGCAATGCGCACGCTTATACAATACCTCGCTACGCACTCTTGTACATTTGTACACAACCTAATGTTTTCAAAGTTAAAAGCTTTTGATGGACAGAAAGTGTAAAACTGTTAGTGTATAACGACACCTTAAAAGTTACAACTAATGAAAATTATTACTGTAAAATAAAAGAACTGGTACGTACCTTACAAAAAACTAAAACTATGAGCGGTAAAAATTACATCCACACAACGTGTGAACATAAAATCGTCAGTACGACCAAACTATAAACTATATTCAGGTCACTTTTGCACCTTTATCTCAGGTTTAACATTAAATTCTGAATGGTATAACTTCATCTTACCCAGATGGCACTAATAAGCAGAAATCATCAGTGCGTACTCTTATACATATGCGCACTCTTGTACACATTTACCCTATATGTTTTTAAACTTTACATAATATCTACCGATTTCAGAAAACAAGTTATATTGTCTTTTACAACAACTTTTCACGTCGGTAAATATACGTATAATAATCATATTCACTTGAAAACTCCAGCGCCTGTATACGTACAGTTATTAAAATTACAACACAATTTTAGTTGTTATTAATGTGATACAAACCTTGGTCAGTGCAGGTAAACAACATAATTAAAAAAGTCTTGTTCAACATCTTTGAGTTACATATATTTTCCCTATTTTTTAATCAATTTTTTAATAATTTTCCACATGAAATTTTCATAGCGGAAAAAGAAAACGTAGCTTTGTGATTTTTTTATCTTGTTCTAAAAAAAAATACTTATGCATAAAAAATAATCTTCTCGACACATGGTATTTGGCAGATAAAGTAACTTCAAAAAATAAACAAATTAAAACATTGCCAAATTCCCTAACATATATTTCAAACTTCGAAAATCCACTAAAATTACTAAATTACTACAATTGTTAAGAAAGCAGGTAAAGACAATTTTTTATATAGAGATAATGCCGTAGTATTATACTGCCATTTGAAAATTTCCGCATACTTACTACTTTTAAACCAAAACCTTTGGAGAAGAAGTGCAAAAAATGGTGCCATCTGTCGCCCGGAAAGACTTTTACTTGCCCGTAAATATATAGGTAAAAAAGTACTTGAGGCAAGTAATTGACACTCATTATAATAAATAAATACCGTACGGCTTTGCCAAGTAGCATTCATGTTTTATTAATTGTAACATTTATTAAGATGTTTTCGTTTATTTACACAGATTTGTGAAGGAGCTTATTTGTCATTCCGCACTTTATCTAATCTAGTGAAAAAAAGAAATGAAAATTTGATGCGGTTAATAGATTAGGACCATTTACAATTTTTTTCTTCTAAAGAAAATTTGTCGCTGGACTAACCAATAAGAAATTTTGGAATTTTTCCGATATTCTTCGAGGGCAAAAACAAAGCAAATACTTAAGAAAACTTAGTTTCGGTGGTCGGTAATCACTGTTGGCAGTATTTAAACAACGACCATGAATTTTACTCTATATTTCACCTACTGATAGAGAAAAATGACATTTTATTTTACTTAATTAATAACATTAAAATATATCTCCCGACAATGTATAACATTGTGTAAATGTGTTCCAGTGACAAATTAAAACAAATTAAACGCCAATAAACTACAACCGCAATTAACAAATATCAAATTTTACCGATGAGAATGTCAGAACGACCATAAACATTTGAAATAAATGTTTGTTTATGCAATTAAGACCGTTTTATCATGAACTCCGCAACCTTAAGATGATAGAAAGTGTGAGATAATAGTACAAACAAGCAGTTAAAATAAATAAGATAATAATTATTTAACCGACAATGTGCGATAACAACAGTCTCCAAGTTCTTGCCAAGTTCAATATTTTTTAAAGTCGTGTTGTAAATATTTGCCGTCGGAAAAAAGGGGCCGCGTAAATATTTTTTATTTATATCTAGAGACAATTAATAAATAGGTGACTTAAGAAAGCAATTGCGCGTTTGCGAGAATCGCTCTAATAAATAGGCGAGATTTTAGTAAAAGGAAATTGTAATAAATGTATGAGACAGCTTCTGATCTATAATTTTCCGTGTATTAAATAATCCGATGTCAGAAATGAATCACGTGATGTGTAACTAAAATTACCTCCATCCAAACTCGCATTTGCCATAAATTCCAACCGGATGCACCTGCTAGTCCATAATTTAATTAAAACAACATCCTCAAGGTAACATATTCAGAGTGTGAGGAGTTTCAATAAGATTACATGTTCGTACATACCAATGAGGAGCTCTTCACCAGACGGCAGCAACAATCGAAACTATTTAGTTCACGCACTTACCGTTCGTTGTAAAAGAGTCGCTAGTATCCAAGGGTATCTTGTTTATTCATATGCTTAATGACTAATCATATACCGGAAAGCACCTGTGTCCGCCAATCAGCTTCGGAGCTAAGGAATATAGGCGGTGCCACAGGGCCTTGACAAATATAGGGGCCGTGCAGCTTTGACAGTTGCTTGACAGCAACTAAGTGTTAGAGGTGGAGCGATACAAGATCGGCCCAAATCAGAATGGCCCCCTAAAAGGCGGCAATTTTAAAAAAGCGGCGAGAACGGAAAAAACACACAATCACATTAGGCCATCGAGGGGACTAATCTAAACATATAATCTAGCATTAGGGTAATTAGGATGAATTTAATATTACATTACGGCGTATTTTATTAATGCGGAATGGAAATAAGCCATTATTGCCACTACAAATAAAAGCGTGCTCCTATTATTCAGCGGAATTTATCGGAATTTTATATCTATATTACAGGATGGGGACATTCTGGATTTTTGCCTTTGTTTCACGTATTTTATTTTTTGTCAAGGTGTTGATTTAAATCCGAGAATGTACTTTGAAGAAGAATTAAATGATAGAAATGAAACGGCAATATATCTTAGGAAAATATCGAGGTTAACTTTAGCAATTCGGATGATATGGAGAAAGAAAGTAGTAGAGGAGATGTTGGAGGGAGTGAGAGACATAGAATACAGCGTTATTGATTTATGTGCCGCCACCCCAGCATTTTCCATAAAGCTGTTTGCGGTCTTGACTACCAGTCCTGAAATATATGGCCAAATAAGTGTTTAGTATGAAGATCTTGAGATCACTTTTCACTAAACTCTTTATCGACTGACTGGCAATTACCTAAGGGCCGTTAATTTATTCCCTAAATTGTCGGATGCCAGAAACAGAGGAAAATATTTTACTTTTTTTTCGTTTTCGTGAAGCCAGCGGTCTCCCGTTCACGCAAAAACTTACTATTTGTCTATTTCCGAAACAATTAACCTATTCCATTCGTTACGACCCCCAAAAAAATTTACCATACAAAGAACATCCATAAACTCAAAGTGAAGACGGGGTGGGTTCGAATCCCATTTAACCCTAATCGAAATTAAAAAAATATATTTATGATAATGAGAATGAAAGTGTGTCAACGGTTGGGACCCTCCGACCCGTCCCCGCAATTGCCCCCTTGGCCATAAAACACCCATAAACACCTTGTAAACACAACACTAAGTAGCGAAAAAGACAAGAGCTATCTTAAATCATCATCTGCGATTTTATGGATGTTCCGTATTCATCTCCTATTCTATTGTGTGCCACATCGACTCGTCCCTCTCTCTCGCTCTCGTGCAAGCTGTTGCGTAAACTAAGATAAACGCGTATCGCGTGTGCCCAGAATGATTTAGTGGGAGATTACTTTAAGAGACCACTTGTTATTGCCCATAACTTCTGATTCAAGTGGCGGTGCACATACGCACCTCGGGATAGAAGAGGATGGAGTGTTTGTCGGAAGAAGAGGGAAGTGACACGGAGTGTTGTCTTCATTCGATTTAAAATAGTGGAATTACAATAGGCGATTGAGACGTGAAAAAAGGGCATTTCGGGTCAATCACTGGCATTAAGATGCTGTGTCAAGTTCAATTGATTGCTGGTATAAATCAAGCGGTGGGCAAACTATAATGGTGATTAATGTTAAGGGAGACATCGCGTTCGTAGATATTTTTGTTGGAAACAATAAGTCGGTAGTATACCTAGCGTTGGTACACAATAGCTAATTTTCTAACTAATTAAAATTTCATGCGAATGTCATGCAACATGCATCTCGGTGTTCTGGGCGATACGTGCAACGTAATAACAGGTTAAGAAGCACGAAACACATCGTTAACATTGTGAACTTTAGATTACGCCGGTTTTGGATACAACAAAAGCGGAGTAAAGTTTTAAGAATTGTTTCGTAATCAATGTAGATGGAGGTTTGATGGCAACTTAGACCCTCACTAGCTATGAGAAATCATTTATCATCCAGTCAAAAGTAGAACTGAGGCGGAGCCTTTCACACTATGTTATCCAATAATAATCCCTTTTAAAAGAGGCCATCTTGGCATATTTCGAAAAGTGAGCATGGTTCTGTCTCGTTACAGATCGAGGATGAGGATTTGACACAAAAGCGATCTAAATTTACAATAATATTTTATTTATACATATATTAATTATATGTACGGTATATATAGGTTGAAATCCACAAGACAGAAATCCAAGTATTAAAGTATTATACTTAAAGTTTGTTTAAAATCAAATAAAAATTTATATAGGATGGTTAAAATTATAATTTATATTACAGTATCTCTTTTGTTCATTTACAAAATTAAAGGTAATTTGTCCGAAATTAAGTGTCGGCCAAACTTAGTACTTCTAATCTAAAATATTACACCACAGCACAAAGAACTATACTCTAATTTATCCATATAGGTACAAATATACAGCATGCCACTGCAAATCCTAATTTATAGTATAAATATTTGCGTATATAAATGGTTAACCAACTTAAATAGGGACGAACGTTTAAATTATCAATAAATAATTTTGAAACCTATTTAATTTGCCTAACCGTTTTTACATAGCTCTGATTTTATATTAAAATAATTAATTACGTATACTCGATTTGTAGCAGCGTTACGTATTTCGTTACTATTATCACTAGCAATTGTGTCTTCAATTGCGGTTCCAATTACATGGTATATAAAATATTCTCTTCTCTTCATTTTTCGAAAAAGAAACTCAAACAAATAATTTTTGATACTCCGAATGTTAAACATTGCTGGATAGCAAAATTCCTTAAAAATACAAAGTGTTACGTATCTGAGTATTGTTAACGTCCTACATGGATAACGTTACTCTACCTTTGGCATGAAAGTGCGTAATTTTAATAATATCGTATATTTCATATCCTTTTCTTTACCGGATTTATTTACACATTTGTATAACTTATTAGTAGAACCAAATATACATTCATTCGAAATATCTACATTTTATAAGTAAACAATTCTAGTTGCCGAACGTACACTTTCGATCTATCTCAGAAGTCTAATGTTCACACAGATTCAACAAACTCACTGGAAATTCAGTAGGTACATCATAAAAAATACGTGAAAAAAACTGCGGAAAAATTCCAGTCAGCTCGCTTAGCGCCACATCTCAAAAAAAAGTCGTCCACTGACCTTCATTTCCGAAAACTTGCAGCCGCCCCCGGAACCGTAGCGAACCACTCATTTTTAAAATTACATTAGAAAATATTTATACAAAATCATCACTGGGCAGTTCGTCTGCATCACTGGATTGCACGTAGCACTGGCCTCTAAAATCATCCGTGGAGAGTCCAAATATAAATTCGCGCAATAAAACTATCAATATCTATACAATATATAAATAAATAAACTATAAAATCGATCAATGAGAATCGCGATCATCGGAACTAAATTATCGACTTGAGTTATACACAAAGGACTTGTGGAGGTCATTATGGTTGTGTTTTGGGAATTTGGAGAGTTCCTGCCGAAAGAGCGCACCTTTTCGTCGGAGATCCGGCAAAAAGAAAATGCAATGACTACAATGTGTTATTAGGTACATGGTTATCGTGAGGTGGTTCACTGGGGGGAGCCCTGGGGGCTGATGTCGTCGCCGCCACCTTCCGATCCGCCTTCCCCTTTGGTCTTGTTCTCCTTTTTCCATTTCATGCGACGGTTCTGAAACCAGATCTTGATCTGTCTTTCGGTTAGACACAGTGCGTGGGCTATTTCGATGCGACGTCGTCTCGTCAAATAGCGGTTGAAATGGAACTCCTTCTCCAGCTCTAACGTTTGGTATCGGGTGTACGTCTGGCGGCCCCGTTTCCTCTCTGAAAATACCGACAGAAAATTAGAAACATGGTCTCATGTCAATCGGGAGTGATTCAATAATAGACGCATCACTAATAATTTATTATTATTATCATTATTTTTAACAAACGGCCAAGGTTTTACTGCATTCTCTTCACCCATAAACACCAAATAGATGCAATATACATATTAATGTGGAATCTATTTGAAATATTTTAAAATTGGAATGGCAGATGTATTACTGGTTGCATAACTTCGATAATCCACCATATTATTTTAAGAGTTATAACAAAAATAAGCATAATGGTTATCTACTTAATGTGCATAATGGTAAGGCAACAGTCTGTACCTAATAATACCATTCAGAAACAGGGACCAAAAACTTTGAAATTTGTTGTTTTTCTGCTTGTGCCATTACATCATCAATCACGATTCAATAAAATTCTATTTGTGAGCTAGTGAATCAGGTTCACATTTGACGCAAATGAATACTCAATAATTTTTTATTGACAACACGGTTTTTTCGATATAGGGTGACTGAAGGTCGCATTTCAAATATTTCTTCCATGCTTTTTGAACAACACGTCAATAAAAAAAGACAATTTAATATTTCATGTTTATTCTCTCATACTTCGAGCTACAAATAATGATCACATTGAAGCCTGTTTTCTTATCCCTACTATAAGAACCGACTCTGTTAAGTAATATTGTAATTAATAATTTTACTTATCAGAAAATAGACCAATGGCATAAGTTTAGTTATCAATAAATAATATCTTCCACCTTTTTGCAGCATATACCTACCACAAGGATGAGTTTTATTTGGAATGTTTACAACAACCAAAAGTAAGTAAAAGAAATGGTTCCAATTTGATGGTTCTCCTATTACGGCTTTTTCAGTAGCATTTTGTTTTAGTTCGAATATAAAATTGAGTTATATTTTTCGATATATTTTTAAAAAGAAATTACGCGCGAGTTTTCCAAAAAAAATGAATATTGCAGAGTAATACATACGTACATCCTTGTTTTAATTGGAAAACTGGTTGACTGATCCATAAGCCATTAAACAACAAAACAAATTAAAAAATTCTAAATAAGTTACTAAATTGTAAAACGAGCATGCCAATCAGAATAATTATTAAATAAAAATAACATGATTCATGAGTGCATATACCTATCAAAAAAAGGAAAACAAACTGTTTTCTCTCTCTCTCGTTTTAGAAGCACTTCACATTATAGTTAATGACCTCCTTCAGTTTTCAAATTTTAGACTTTTAGTGTAGCTAGGTTAGCGTTATCTTTATTAAGTTGGCCCTCTTAAATCAAAAAGAAAAACGGTAAGAAATCTTCTCGGAGTATAAAAGCAGAAATAGAGTGAACATATGACTAAAACGTTGAAGGGTATAGCATAAAATGTATGTACATAGGTATAAAAATTTCGCTTCTGTTTGTTAACTTGTTTATAATAAGTTGATTAACTTCCATTCCACAAATAACCTATTTTGGTTCTCGCCGTGTAAAACCTAAAACAAAACAAAAAATTTTTTTGAAATACAGTTTACGAAAATATGAAAAGCAGAACCCACACCTACTACTTTATGTTTCTAATGTAGATAGTAATAATTTCGAAATTGGTTTAAAATGACAACAGCAAAAGCTAATTATTTTATGTTAATACATAAATAGATTCTAATTTTATAACGAATAAAAATTAATAGCTACTTAAAACGAATGAATATTAGGCATTCCATCAGATAGCATCCATCCTCCAGGAAACTAATGTTTAGATGTCAATGATTCGAATAATCCATTCATAATATTTGCATTTGTACATAATAATAGTCAAAAAGTCAGTGGTGTACATTTAAACTTTTTGTGATACTACTTGCATAACTTAACAATTTTCTGACACTTCAATAATTAACCTTCCAAGTAACCACCCTTTCCCTGATCTTCGCCACTAATTTTCTCATACTTTTTCTCTTGTATTGACTTCACTACATTCGCAAATCACATGTTGCATGACCATTTGACTACCCATAATTCTACCTACTTCTTTTTGCATAAATTAAACCAAATCTGTTATTATTTATTTCTTGTTTCGTTTTCACAATAAAATCATATTGTTTTTCTTTCTTCCACACATTCTGTTTTCGGTGCTTTGAAAACTATTTCATCGCATTTTTTTTAATGTAAGTATATTTCATTCTTTGATACTTGATTTTTCTTTGTGTTCATTTTTCCTAAATTCATACATATACATTTTTCTAATAGCATTTTTCTCTGGACGTTCCCACTTCTTTTTGCATGTTCTAATTTTATCTCTCCAACAAAACTTACTCGACTTTTGCATATTTCCGCAAAATTCACTTCTTCTTTCAACCTCTCTACGTAATTATTAACGATAACTTCTTGAAAAATCTCTTTCACACTCTTTCTGTGTGGTTATATGCCTTTATACTCCCGCTCATCATGCTCAAACTTTTTTCCTGCTCCCCATAGAATATTCACTTTATGTACTTTACAATTTTTTACAATTCCTACAACAATTTCCTTCCTTCACTTCTTCTATTTGTATTTGTTAAAGTTCACCTCCAATTTTTTCATGGTTGTATATTTTTGTAGATTCTTAATTACCTTTCCGATTTCTCTTTCATCCCTAGTTACAACCACTAAATCATCCAAAGATACCAAGATCTATTCTAGTGGCACAACTTCAGCCTGTTCCCTAGCCACCTCGGCATATTGCATATTGGAACTTACTGGATTTCAGTCTATACCCTTTACCACTTCTCGTATTGTCCATAATTTTACCCTATTTGAGTTTCCGACTTCCTTGTTGACTTTGGTAATGGTTAATACTTCAGTCTTAGGGCCGGTTTATCAATGCGCAGTTAAGTTAAAGTAACTGGCGTTAAAGCTTGTCTGTGAGTTAACCTGTTTATCATTACCCGCTAGCTCAAAACTGGTGGTCAAAGTGCCTGATAAATTAACTGACAGTTCAAACTGTCAGTTAAAACGTTATCCACCAGTTAGTGGCAACATAACCTAACAAATCCAAATAAATCTGTTATGAATTTAACAATATTTTGATGAGGACTTATGTTGTGCAACAAATTGACAGAGAAAAGATGAGAAAAACACGTATTATTAGCTGATTATTTTCCAGGTCTAATGTAGGTACCAAAAATTAAAAACCTATCTAATAATACCGCGAGATCGAAAAAGAAATTAATCGAAGTAGGCCATGCACGACAAGCCGTTTGTCGTAATCACGGTGGTAGGGTAATTTCATTTTTTTTATTAAATGTCAAATTGACAGTTTAAAATTAGAATTATGACGCCTACTTTTAAAACACATAAGAATGAATTAAAATCACCGTTTCCCAATTTTGTCTAAAATTTATCCCATTTCTGAAGATTCTAATAACAAAAAAGCTTTAATTTCGTTTGATAACAGTGCAAATTACTTTTGTCAACGTGACGATTAATAAAAAAATATTTTAAACTAATAAGACAAACGCCTTTTCGTGCATGGCCAACTTTGACTAATTTCTTTTTCGATCTCTCTGTATTTATTTATAGGTGTACCTACTTGTTTCGTTTTTAATTTCCAATACTTTTTTTCTAATGCTAAATTTTGCTTTTTCATGATTGATCACGTGAAACGCGATATACAATCGTTGAATACCGAATGCGGATCGAATCTGATGGAACTTTCAAAGTCGGGGTAGTTTTGAACTGACCAATCACAACTCATTTCCAGTGGGGTGAGCGTTACCAACTTAAGAGAGTAACAGCTAAACTTCGAGCTACGAAACTGGAAGAAACATCGTGCATTGATAAACACTTTACCTCCGTTAACTGCTAGTTACCCTTATCTGACAGTTACTTAACAGACACTTTTAACTGAGCATTGATAAACCGGCCCTTAGTCTAATACTTCCATATCTCTTTTTTCTTCTATGTTGCTTCTTTTTCTGTACTTCTCTTCGATTTTCTGCTACTCGTCCTTGTACCCTTGTTTTCTTTCACAGCCATGATCTACTTAGTTTTCTTCTTCCTTCTTCTGCTTTTGTAATTTTTTCTTTCGTCAAGACCCCTTGATGTTTGTCTACTTTGCCATCAAACTGTCATTTTATAAACTCTGCCATACTCATCTTGACCCTGAAATATTTTTCTGCCTTTCGGCTCTTTTTGCCCATTATCTTTTCTTTTGTCTTCAGTCAGGGTCCTGCCCTTTTTAAGTTTTACATTTCTCTCATTAATTTATCCTAAATATTTTGTGGTGCAACGAATTATGACATTTGGATGGTTGTAGTAAATTACACGTAGGTAAATCAGTCATCATGAGACTTTAAATTGACGAGTATCAAATAAAGAAATAAATGGATCAACGGTCAATTTAGAGAAAAATAAAGTTTCTGCGGTTTTTAGTCACTTTATTAGGATATTATTTACGACTAAGGATATTAATAATAATTTCAGTGTTCAACTTTCTGTAATAACTATTTTTAAGGAGGCATATATTTTAAAAGGTATAGGAGTAAATTACTTCATTTTTCAGTCCAGTTAACCATAGTTGTGAATCAAGAATTTTAGCTTTAAAAAAATGTATCAAATTGGACCACTAAAAAATCCTGATATTTTTTAGATCCCACTTTTAGACAGTGAATTGTTGCAGCCATTTTATATCCTATTGAACTCGTAGTCCTTGAAAATGACAGGAACGTTCAGTCATGTCAATACACCTATAAAAACAAAACAATATTAAAACAATGGATTTCCGGCAAAAAGCTCCTACGAAATAACGCGTAAAGCTCGCATTTATTCTTGACATCTAATCCACATCGATTCGTCATAATCAATCGGTCTGACAAGAATCTTATTATGGCGAAACGAATCGTAATTATTGTGTGGTGTGTATTTTGAAGTTTCGCAAGACCGCCAAGTCCTGAAAGATGGAAATGATTTATGCATCATTTATAAACTCATTATCTCAGATGCAGGCTCAACCGCC